ACTCGTCAACTGAGGCCTATGTCAGTGCTTTGGGGACTTGTGGTCCAATCTCTGAGATTCATTTTCCATCAAAATTATTTTACTGTCTAAATGGCGTAGAAAATTTCACATAAACTAATCAAAAATTTCATGGTGTGAACCATTTCATACTTTTTTGCAGTCCCTTATCATACTAACACCCCGCACACTTATACACTTCCATCCATGATTCCTGAGCCGCAGTATCACGATATTGACGGGATTAGTCATCGCCTGATTGCAGGGGTGCTAAGCAAAATTTCTACCCTTATTCTGTTTTATCTAGCCAATTCATGGCGTCACATTAACTGCGATAAAACTGGAAAGCGTTTTAGACACACTAGATAGCCGAATAAGCCGCAGCGCCCTTGCATTGGTTCATCTGCAATATGGCCTGTCTTTATCCGTTGCCGTTCGTCGGCTTCCTTGAGTTTTTCACACTCAAGTAACTAGACTATTAGCTCGGCAGAAGAAATTGCATAAAGCTAGCTCCAGTGAGACTGGCTTTTACAGACAGAACGGTTCTTAACTAATGGGAAGAACAAAATAACTATTTTAAGCCTTCGAAACCTCTAATCGTGCCACCCGCATTCAACTCCTACATGACCCACTCTCACTTGTTTCCGCGCCACTCTGGGTGCTACCAAATTCTTTGCACAGCTCCCATTCTCACTGTACCATTATGGTTGCGCGCGACGCTATGCCATCCATCAGCTGGGAATAATCAATATTGCTAATACTAGCACCAGATTCGGCTGAGCAGGCGCACCTGAATGTTTGCAATTTAGGGGGACTATAGCTTGCGTATGAAAATGAGGGATCGCATTGGTCAGTTGTGCGTAACTTTAGTCCAAACAGTAGTAATCTGACAGTATTACTTTGTCTGACTCCTTCATAACCGGGCTTTTGAAGTTTACCTAATGTCGAAATGAGATAACCTTTACACACGACCGAAAAATAGTTTGGACCGTGCCATCGGGCGGCCCATATCATGTGTTTTTGGGGGATGGGGCTGCAGTGCCCATCAAGCTGAGTTAAGTGTACGAAGCCAGAGTCGGACTATCTGGCATTATCCCGACAGGAACGATCAGTTCGGAATTGGTTCTCTTTGGAGCGATAAATTATCTCAGACGTCGAGTTAGCCTCTGGGTTATACTAATGCTGTACTAAGGTATTCAAACTTCTGGCATTTTCGACAGAGAGCACGTACGATTGGAGAAGAAAAACGTCGGCAGCGAGCAGTTTAACAGGTGCAACTTCATTCGCTGGATATATTGCTGGTAAACCAAAAGGACCTCTCCACCAAAATGTTAAGATGTGAACGGGCGTGATCAGCAGTTAAACTCCACAATGTTTATTGCTGTCCCGCAGCAGTCGTTGGGTTGGGTATTGCCGGAACTGAGCAGAGTATTGAGCCAGCAGTTGCGGTCTGACCAGTGCACCAAAGGTGTGCAGTAACCGCTCCTTACACAGTTGTGGGGCATCTGGCCAGATTAGAGTGTATCAGCCGGTGTATCTCGGGACGGGAACAGGCCGAGGCGCCCAAGGCCACGCTGCAGTGAAAAAAGATGGTTCACAGGTGGTTTGGTTCCGTGAACCTGGTCACAACACGTTTTCCCATGGAGCTCAACTTTCAATAATGCAATAATAATAATGCTTATTCCCAACTTGTGGGTGGCATACCGTCTGGCATGATCATAGTTTTACGATCAGAATGAAGCAGGACTGAGGGGTTTGTGTGGGTGCGGATTGCACAAAAAGAGGACACTGTCATAAACCGTGTTGAATATCCGACGAAATAACAATAATAGGTTTCTTTCTCAACTTGTTGGGAACAATGGGCATGAGGTCCGACCAGTTCTATGACACAGCCGGCTGGCATGAACCAAAACTGAAAGCCATTGCTGGTCATGAGTGACCTTGGGTGGTTAGGTAAATGGCCGGAGTCGCAACGAGCAAAAGTGGAGATGGAGATGAGATAATTCAAATTGGGAGCACATGACAAGTTTTGTCTCGAAAATGTGGTTCAGTCTGAAAGTAAGCAGACTCACTGGTTGCACTGTTGTAGGGATGTCAGGTGCAAGGGAATAGGTTGGATGGGGGCAAGTTGCTAATACATAGGGCGACCCGAACTCCCTATACGGATTCGAACTTGTGCAAGAGGGAAGCCGAAATTGCGGCACAAAAGCCAGGCTAGCCAATCTGAGCGAAAATTCGTTGGGTACGGAAAAGCTCATCCCAGAAACGGGGCCGGATGAGAACTGCTCGAAGTTGTGGTTACACGTTTGAGTGGGCGAGGGGTTGCGGTCGAGATTCTGGAGACAATAGTTGCGGGAGTGCCATCTCACTGGGTATGACAGTGCCACGCCATCATTGCACTGACATGCTTCGGTTTATGGACAGCCCTGTAACGGTCCTCAAGGGTCGGAGAAAGGATGCACAGTTCCGTGGTAGCTGGTTCTGGGTGAGACGGGGATTGACACAGGGAATCATGCAGATGTAGGCTCACAGATAATTCCCTTTTTGTTGGGGGACCGTGTGAGTGTAGACCGGACATCAGCCAGTTGGAATGTATAACAGTCCTAAGGGGCGTTTAGGCAACTGCAGTCGGAGATTGAAGCTTGCGAAGAGGGTCGACGAGAAAGAAAAATGTAGATCAACTAGCTGAAGACCTTGGGGCCGCGAAGGCGGAATCGTGGAGGCGCGCTCAAACGAGCCGACGCTACAAGTGTGGCATGACTGGCCATCGGAAGAACCAAAGTCGTCGTACCCCACCACTTGTAATTTGGCGCAGCTAAATGGGCCACGGTACAGGCCGTTATAGTGATAGACAGAAGAGGGAGCTGTGCCTGGCTGACACCAGAGCAGGGGTATCGCTGAGGTGGAAAAGGAACGAGGCGGATTGAAAACTGCGCGCGTCAGCCGTGAGACCAGTGGTTGGGTACTGACTGGTAGTTAACGGGTTGTCTACGCACTTAATGTGCCTAGGCAACAAGTCCGTGCAGCACGCATTCTTGACTAGTCCAGACATAGAGCAGACAATATTGTGAGCAGATTTTCTCAATAGTACAGAACCCGTGGTTGACCTAATGCGGGAGAAAGTGGCACAGTCAAGCTTGAAGGTTACTCGAGTACAGCGCGAGCGAACCACATGGTCAAAAGCCTTTGTTTTTTCATCTGCTGTCGGTGCAGTTTTTGGTCAAGGAATACCCAGAACTGTTCACCCGGGGATTGAACAAGAAGGCTTCTTCCGTCTGAAAGGCTTTCGACTTTAGGGCCCCCGTCCGCTGCCGCTCTATCCAGGGGAGGATGTCCATAAACAAGTTCAAGAGATGTTGAAAAATGACCTTACCGAAGGTGCAACAGTGCACATATTAGTGCACAGGTGATGATAACGATTGTACAAATCTGAAGGTGTACGCACCAATAAAAGTTTTCAACTGTAATCGACAGTTTTTTACAAGAGCGATTTGTAGCATGTATAAATAAAGGTCAAATATAAAATGTGGAGCAAGTCAAAAGGGAACTTATCGTATGTGAGAGTCCATTGGTGAATGTCCGGACGGTGTGAACGTGTTTTGCCCGCAGTTTGGCTGCTACACATACAACTCCCCGGGTTAGCTTGTAGAGCAGGCGTAAAGGAAGCAACGGTTTCGCGAGGATCTCCGGCGTTTGAATGAACTAACCGTGAACCGTGTTGTAGCTGTTCCTTCAATTGCGAAGATTTTCGATTTCCCCCAGGATTCTAGATATCTCACGGTGTTGGATCTGCGTTTTGGATGCTATCTATTAAGACGCAGGACCCGGAGAAAACGGCGTCCGTCAATCAAGACGGATGCCGTTTGGTTTGGTGGGGCACCAGTCACATTTAGACGCTTGGTGCTTCGTCTAACGAATGGATTCCAGAATGTATGCCGTATTGTAGCTTGTCCGGGAGCCTGGCCGGCGGAACTAATGACAAAAAGACATAGCTTGCTCAGATTTCGGTGACACCGTTATGGTATATGTGGGTCACGGAGTGGTTAGTCCACTGCCAGAAAATCTGTCAATGATCAAGGGTTGTGCTACTTTCGATTTAAAGCGCCCCCCACTGTAGTTTCTTGGACAAATAGCATACTACAGCCGGTTTGTCAAGGAATTCAACCCGATTGCCGCTACGCTGTACGACTTGCTCCGGGAACATCGGAAGTTCGATTGAACCAGGTATGCGCTCGGGGCTTTTGAGCGTGTCGAAGTGTGGATGCTAGGTCAACAGCTGGCCCAAAATCTACCCAGGGTTGAGGTGATGTTTACTGTTGCATGGACGCCAGTGACCACAGTTTCGGTGCCGTCCTAAGGCAGAGAAACTGGGTCATCATGTATTCTAGTCATGTCCTGACTAGCGGCGAGCAGAAGTATTCAGCCATTGAGAAAGAACTTTTGGCGATCGTCCGGGCCCTAACTAAGTGGGGGCCATACTTATTGGGACAAAAATTTCACGTCGAGACCACCAGTGTATATCAGAATCGCCGGAGATCCTCGCGGAAAGTTCGCGCTCTGAGCATTCCAATTCCAAGAGTTAGACTCCACAATCCGGCACGTGCCGTGGAGGGAGAGCCATCTAGCTGATCGGTTATCAAGACCGGAGGCTGGTGATGAGCACCTATAATCATGATTAAGGCCAGTAGTCTGGTCGTTAAACTAGATCCCGGAGGTTGGTCCGACTCCACTGCCAGGATCCTGTATTACGGAAGGTTGCATCCGTCCTTATGAGATAGCAGGATATTGAGAACGGAGTTGGAGGCAAGGGATTGGAAATGTTGCAGACTCACTTCGATGGGCTAACTGTGAGTAAAGCAGACATAATTTCCTGGAAAGCCACCGAATCTGATATTACGCTGTCCGTGGCACCTTGTGTCTTGAGACGGAAGATAAAAGCCAAATGCCACAACATAGCGCACAAATGGTGCGCTAAGACGTACCACTTACCTTGGCAGAGTGTCTAATAGCCGAGGATGACAAGTGAGGTGATTGGTCATGTGGTGTCCGGTAAGTGGTGCCAGCTCACGTAAGGGAATACGACATGGGCACTCATCCCGTGTAACCAACTGCTGTCACAGAAATTGGCGAGTCATAGCCCATTGACTTCATACGCTCCTTTCCGGTGACAACCAGCGGAACTCAATATATCGTTATAATGACAGAACACCAGTCGTGGTGGGTATAAGCGACAGCCGTGCCAAATAAACGGATGAAGGCGATCAGACGACGACCGGATAAAAAAATCTGGTAGCTGGAGTTATTTATTAATGCACAAACCGCACTTATGACTGCTTGGATGGTTTTCTACTTTGCAGATCTGGTAGCATGCACGAGGGATGAAAACCTCGTGTGGTGGATGGGTACGCCTTGCAGGAGGGTTGCCCTGTTACGTTGCACCATGGNCTCGCCACCCCTCCAGTAGCACGGGTGCATCTCCCATCGCCGGTGGTTCAGCCTGGCCTTTAATTCAGGAAAACCAAAAAAGAGCAGCGTTGCTGTTTGTCTGTAGCTGGATTGGCCTTGTTCCGGCCGTCACTTGTCCCACTGCACCAAGAAATACAAGCGGACGACAGCTGTCATCCTGTTTGTATTAAAAAAATAACAAGAAAGAATATTAAAAAACATTCACGCATGGGGTAACCTGAGAGCACCTGTGAGGCTCACGGCTAGCGTCGACGTGCAAGACGTTACCACCGTCGTCTTTGTGGGGTCAAACCACCCCTAGTCCAATTCATCATCCAAACATAGCACACTTGTTCTTCCCTGTTGTCAGCCGGAGCAACCATATGCACAAAATGCTAATAACTTATGATCTCCTGATTACAAGCAGTCACTGCTAGCACTTAGTGGCAGTTTTTTCTGCCATGCATCATTCGTTTTCTGGNGACAAGCAACAGCTTCCCAGATAATTGATAGGAATCGTAACTTAACTAAGTACTACTACATCAGCCAAACAGGAAACTAAGATTTCGGGTCATCAGTCGCCGAGTCAATGCTGTCAACTCCAGAAAACAAATGATGCATGGCAGAAAAAACTGCCACTAAGTGCTAGCAGTGACTGCTTGTAATCAGGAGATCATAAGTTATTAGCATTTTGTGCATATGGTTGCTCCGGCTGACAACAGGGAAGAACAAGTGTGCTATGTTTGGATGATGAATTGGACTAGGGGTGGTTTGACCCCACAAAGACGACGGTGGTAACGTCTTGCACGTCGACGCTAGCCGTGAGCCTTACAGGTACTCTCAGGTTACCCCATGCGTGAATGTTTTTAAATATTCTTTCTTATTATTTTTTTGGAACAAACAGGAAGACAGCTGTCGTCCGCTTGTATTTCTTGGTGCAGTGGGACAAGTGACGGCCGGAACGAGACCGATCCAGCTACAGACAAACAGCAACGCTGCTCTTTTTTGGTTTTCCTGAATTGAAGGCCAGGCTCAGAACCACCGGCGATGGGCGATACACCCGTGCTACTGGGGGAGTGGCTAGTATATGAACGCACCATGGTGCAACGTAACAGGGCAACCCTCCTGCAAGGCGTACCCATCCACCACACGAGGTTTTCATCCCTCGTGCATGCTACCAGATCTGCAAAGTAGAAAACCATCCAAGCAGTCATAAGTGCGGTTTGTGCATTAATAAATAACTCCAGCTACCAGATTTTTTTATCCGGTCGTCGTCTGATCGCCTTCATCCGTTTATTTGGCACGGCTGTCGCTTATACCCACCACGACTGGTGTTCTGTCATTATAACGATATATTGAGTTCCGCTGGTTGTCACCGGAAAGGAGCGTATGAAGTCACTGGGCTATGACTCGCCAATTTCTGTGACAGCAGTTGGTTACACGGGATGAGTGCCCATGTCGTATTCCCTTACGTGAGCTGGCACCACTTACCGGACACCACATGACCAATCACCTCACTTGTCATCCTCGGCTATTAGACACTCTGCCAAGGTAAGTGGTACGTCTTAGCGCACCATTTGTGCGCTATGTTGTGGCATTTGGCTTTCATCTTCCGTCTCAAGACACAAAGTGCCACGGACAGCGTAATATCAGATTCGGTGGCTTTCCAGGAAATTATGTCTGCTTTACTCACAGTTAGCCCATCGAAGTGAGTCTGCAACATTTCCAATCCCTTGCCTCCAACTCCGTTCTCAATATCCTGCTATCTCATAAGGACGGATGCAACCTTCCGTAATACAGGATCCTGGCAGTGGAGTCGGACCAACCTCCGGGATCTAGTTTAACGACCAGACTACTGGCCTTAATCATGATTATAGGTGCTCATCACCAGCCTCCGGTCTTGATAACCGATCAGCTAGATGGCTCTCCCTCCACGGCACGTGCCGGATTGTGGAGTCTAACTCTTGGAATTGGAATGCTCAGAGCGCGAACTTTCCGCGAGGATCTCCGGCGATTCTGATATACACTGGTGGTCTCGACGTGAAATTTTTGTCCCAATAAGTATGGCCCCCACTTAGTTAGGGCCCGGACGATCACCAAACGTTCATTCTCAATGGCTGAATACTTCTGCTCGCCGCTAGTCAGGACATGACTAGAACACATGATGACCCAGTTTCTCTGCCTTAGAACGGCACCGAAACTGTGGTCACTGGCGTCCATGCAACAGTAAACATCACCTCGACCCTGGGTAGATTTTGGGCCAGCTGTTGACCTAGCATCCACACTTCGACACGCTCAAAAGCCCCGAGCGCATACCTGGTTCAATCGAACTTCCGATGTTACCGAAGCAAGTCGCACAGCATAGCGGCAATCGGGTTGAATTCCTTGACAAACCGGCTGTAGTATGCTATTTGTCCAAGAAACTGCAGTGGAGGGCGCTTTAAATCGAAAGCAGCACGACCCTTGATCATTGACAGATTTTCTGGCAGTGGACTAACCACTCCGTGACCCACATATACCGTAACGGTGTCACCGAAATCTGAGCAAGCCATGTCTTTTTGTCATTAGTTCCGCCGGCCAGGCTCCCGGACAAGCTACAATACGGCATACATTCTGGAATCCATTCGTTAGACGAAGCACCAAGCGTCTAAATGTGACTGGTGCCCCACCAAACCAAACGGCATCCGTCTTGATTGACGGACGCCGTTTTCTCCGGGTCCTGCGTCTTGATAGATAGTATCCAAAAGGCAGATCCAACACCGTGAGATATCTAGAATCCTGGGGGAAATCGAAAATCTTCGCAATTGAAGGAACAGCTACAACACGGTCCACGGTTAGTTCATTCAAACGCCGGAGATCCTCGCAAAACCGTTGCTTCCTTTATGCCTGCTATATTAGCTAACCCGGGGAGTTGTATGTGTAGCAGCCAAACTGCGGGCAAAACACGTTCACACCGTCCGGACATTCACCAATGGACTCTCACATACGATAAGTTCCCTTTTGACTTGCTCCACATTTTATATTGCCCTTTATTTTATACATGCTACAAATCGCTCCTGTAAGAAACTGTCGATTACAGTTGAAAGCTTTTATTGGTGCGTACACCTTCAGATTTTTACTATCGTTATCATCACCTGTGCAGTAATATGTGCACTGTTGCATTTTCGGTAAGGTCATTTTTCAACATCTCTTGAACTTGTTTATGGACATCCTCCCCTGGATAGAGCGGCAGCGGACGGGGGCCCTAAAGTCGAAAGCTTTCAGACGAGAAGAAGCCTTCTTGTTCAATCCCCGGGTGAACAGTTCTGGGTATTCCTTGACCAAAAACTGCACCGACAGCAGATGAAAAAACAAAAGCTTTTGACCATGTGGTTCGCTCGCGCTGTACTCGAGTAACCTTCAAGCTTGACTGTGCCACTTTCTCCCGCATTAGGTCAACCACGGGTTCTGTACTATTGAGAAAATCTGCTCACAATATTGTCTACTCTATGTCTGGACTAGTCAAGAATGCGTGCTGCACGGACTTGTTGCCTAGGCGCATTAAGTGCGTAGACAACCCGTTAACTACCAGTCAGTACCCAACCACTGGTCTCACGGCTGACGCGCGCAGTTTTCAATCCGCCTCGTTCCTTTTCCACCTCAGCGATACCCCTGCTCTGGTGTCAGCCAGGCACAGCTCCCTCTTCTGTCTATCACTATAACGGCCTGTACCGTGGCCCATTTAGCTGCGCCAAATTACAAGTGGTCGGGTACGACGACTTTGATTCTTCCGATGGCCAGTCATGCCACACTTGTAGCGTCGGCTCGTTTGAGCGCGCCTCCACGATTCCGCCTTCGCGGCCCCAAGGTCTTCAGCTAGTTGATCTACATTTTTCTTTCTCGTCGACCCTCTTCGCAAGCTTCAATCTCCGACTGCAGTTGCCTAAACGCCCCTTAGGACTGTTATACATTCCAACTGGCTGATGTCCGGTCTACACTCACACGGTCCCCCAACAAAAGGGAAATTATCTGTGAGCCTAAATCTGCATGATTCCCTGTGTCAATCTCCGTCTCACCCAGAACCAGCTATCACGGAACTGTGTATCCTTTCTCCGACCCTTGAGGATCGTTACAGGGCTGTCCATAAACCGAAGCATGTCAGTGCAATGATGGCGTGGCACTCCCGCAACTATTGTCTCCAGAATCTTGACCGCAACCCCTCGCCCACTCAAACGTGTAACCACAACTTCGAGCAGTTCTCATCCGGCCCCGTTTCTGGGATGAGCTTTTCCGTACCCAATGAATTTTCGCTCAGATTGGCTAGCCTGGCTTTTGTGCCGCAATTTCGGCTTCCCTCTTGCACAAGTTCGAATCCGTATAGGGAGTTCGGGTCGCCCTATGTATTAGCAACTTGCCCCCATCCAACCTATTCCCTTGCACCTGACTTCCCTACAACAGTGCAACCAGTGAGTCTGCTTACTTTCAGACTGAACCACATTTTCGAGACAAAACTTGTCATGTGCTCCCAATTTGAATTATCTCATCTCCATCTCCACTTTTGCTCGTTGCGACTCCGGCCATTTACCTAACCACCCAAGGTCACTCATGACCAGCA